ATGTACGTATTGATGTACGTATTGATGTGCATATTGATGTACGTATTGATGTACGTATTGATGTACGTATTGATGTGCATATTGATGTACGTATTGATGTGCGTATTGATGTGCGTATTGATGTGCGTGCGATAAAGAAAGAGGTTGTTTTCAATTTTTCCAAAAACCAAAGTTTTCACAAAATAACGAGACTGTGAGCAATGAATTGTTTTGTTTTATTTATTTATTTGTTTTTGTAAAAAAAAGAAGTTTTCCGCTTGGATGGGTTCAAGAACAGATTTATTATATAATCTTATTATAAACCAGAGCAGGCAGAGTTTATGGTTAGATAGGTAGAGCTTACTCCAGTATACTAGTACATACTGGCGTAATATCACTATTCTCTAGTATACTAGAACATACTGGCGTAAACATCACTATTCTCCAGTATACTAGAATATACCGGAGTAATATCACTATTCTTTAGTATACTAGAATATACTGGAGTAATATCACTATTCTCTAGTATACTAGAAAATACTGGCGTAAACATCACTATTCTCCAGTATACTGGAATATACTTCAATACTCTATTAATCTCCAGTATACTAGAATATACTGGCGTAAACATCACTATTCTTCAGTATACTAGAATATACTGGAGTATACTCTATTATTCTCCAGAATACTATAATATACTGGAGTATACTCTATTATTCTCCAGAATACTAGAATATACTGGAGTAGACTTCATTATTCTCCAGTATACTAGAATATATTAGCGTAAAAATCACTATTCTCTAGTATACTGGAATATACTGGAGTAAACATCACTATTCTCCAGTATACTGGAATATACTGAAGTATACTCTATTAATCTCCTGTATACTAGAATATACTGGAGTATACATTTTTATTCTCCAGTATACTAGAATATACTGGAGTAGACTTCATTATTCTCCAGTATACTAGAATATACTGAAGTAAACTCTGTTTTCACCTTTATACTCCATTTTCTCCAATATTCTCCATCGTATTAAAGTATCCTTTATCTTAATCCTGTAAACTCCATTTTCCTCCAGTATAATCCAATTTATCGCAGTATAATCCATTTTACTCCAGTGCACTTTATTTTACTCATGTATACTCAATTTTACTCCATTATACTCCAGCTTACTCAATCTTACTCCAGTAAAATCAATTTTACTCCAGTATGCTCCATTTTCCTCCGGTATATTTCATTTCAATCCTGTAAAATCCCTTTTACTCCAGTAAAATCCATTTTACTCTTTTATACTCCATTTTACTCCAGTATACCTTATTTACTCCAGTATAATCTATTTTACTCGATCCTGTATCATTCATTTTACGCCAGTATAGTCCATTTTACATCAGTATACTACATACTCCCAAATACTCCATTTTACTCCAGTAACCTCCATTTTAATCTAGTATACACCATTTAAATTAAGTGTACTCCATTTTACTTCATTTTACTCCAGTATACTTATTTTTAATCTAGTATACTCCATTTTTCCCCTACTTTATTTTATTCAGAATCTACTTTATATCCAATATCCATAACTTACATATCATGAACCACATTATATTATAATTTCAATTAATTAATTAGAACGTTCATCTGGAGAAAGAGAATATTAGATTCTATAGAAGTGGAATGTAAGGTCGGATACATAATCATATGTACATTGTACAAACAAACAAATAAGAAGTACTATTTCATTTTAGATTTATTCAAGAGTTTTCTTTAAAATTTGGTAATTGGTAATTGGTAAATTGGGACGGTCACAGTAATTTCAAATTCCCAATTTTTATAATTGCAATTTCATCGTTTATATTTCTGGGAAAGTATTAATTTCTGACAATTTACTTTTGTGTCTCTAATGTAAAAATCGCAAGTTATACATATAAGACAAACAAAGGTCTTTAGTATTGATCTACACAGCACTCCAGAATGTTATATACTGTTTCATTAGCCAAGAGGTTGGGGGGGGGATTGTTTTCTAGAATTATATACTGGGTTCTCTTTAGTATACATGTTTAATGTTTATATTTGGTTGGGGGGGGGGGTTGGTTTCTAGAATTATATACTGGGTTCTCTTAAGTATACATGTTTAATGTTATATCTGAAAACTTTCATCTTGTACAGACTACCTCAGTAAATGTGGTTTCATAGTTTCTAAGTTTTCATCAGGTTTTCACAAACATCAGAGTTTATCTAGAATTTCTAAAAATCCTTGAATTCTTAACTCTAATGGTTAAAGGATAATTTCATCCCTGAATAGTCATAAACCGGTGGCATATGTTCGTCTATGGAGAATTAGTTATGGTTGAGACATCTTTTCATATAATTGGAAATTACAGTGTTCATTTTTAGAATTCGAGGAAAGTTCTGAACAAATTCGCAATTCTTTTGTTCAATGTTTTTAAAAAGAATTCCGTTTTGCATGTCATCAAAACTTTAAATCTTTATTCAATAATAATACTCTGAACAGGGTTATTCATTAAGGATGAGACTTTGCAGACACCTTTCAATCTTATTTCTTAGAGTATTATAAATTTGTTGAGTAATCAAAAAAACAAACCGGCGTCAAAATATTAATTTTTAAGTTCACCAAATCTTAATGAACAGCTTTAAATGGAATAAAGTTGCGAATTTTTCAATAACTAAAAGTAGTTTTTACGACATTTTTCAACTACTTGACTTCTAATGCCAAGATCTAATTGAACCACCTCTCTCTTGTTCATAAACCCGAACTCAGATTATCATTAGTAGTATATAATTGATGGTTGAATGCTTCTGATTTGTAAAGATGGTTTATGTTAATGATAAGGATTAAAGGTTTGGCTTGTTAACTGCTAACCTCAGAGCAGGCAACTTATGACTATCAAACAGAATTCATATTTGGAAGTTACTAAATGTACAGAAAATTTTTACTATAATGCAAGGTTATAATGGAGGGAAAGTTAATTGCAGTTGCGTATACTCTGCGTACAAATTGAAACCAGTTCTCTCTGGGCGGAATTTGTAAACAAGAATAGATGGATCAGTGTTCGTTTAGTATCCGAGGAGGTTAAAAGCATTAAATTTTGATAATTTTGATAATTCACATAATAGTTTCCTATGACCAGAATATTTCATTGGTTTTTTATGTGAAAGATGGATCCCATGTCAGGCTTCGATATCCGTCTTGTGTTTACATTACCGCCAAGAGACAGTACACTGCAGTACAAAAGATGCGTACACCTCTGAAATAACTTTCCTTGCATTATAATCTTGCTGTAATGGATGGGTGGAATGCAAAAATAAATCAGCTCAACAGGGTATCTTGTATCCAGTATCCACTCCATGAAAACTCAAACTTGCCTTTACATGGCTGTTAGAAAAAATATAAAGATGATACCATTTGGACATTCCAACTTATAAATGGAGAGTCACTTGAAATTAGTATTCCTTTTTTAACATTTTAATAATTAAATTATTTCAACAAACTCAGTTTTTATTCATTAGTTCTCTCTTCAGTTACCGTCTCTAAACCATTAAGCCTATCGATCAAAATAGATTTTTAAGTTAAAAAGGTCGCATTGGGATTTTTGAAGTAATTTTGCTCAGAATTATTGATGTCGAATATAAGTTCCAAATTGTTTTTTTTTAGTGTAAAGGACATTAAATTAAACAGTGGGCTATTTTAAATCACGTCTTCAGTCCATGAAAAATTGAAAATTATTGTGTAATTCTGTGCTATAACTGGTTGGTTTAAAGAGGGTTGAACAGGTGTTTATATTGTTTTATCTCACACTGTTCACAATCCAGCATTGATTACAAAGAAAAAGCGTTCCAGAGCGGGCAGACACAAAGAATAATTATTTACTTAATGGTAACTTTTGTCAAGATTTCAGCCGACACCGTGGAAGTTCTATACTGTACACTGTACATAATAATTACAGATGCTGTACCCCGTACCCCGTACATTACACCAATAACAGACTTTACCGTACTGTTGCTATACTGAATGATCCCTCCTTACTTACTCCTTGATTAAAGACGGACTCATATTTTTATATCTCAGGGTTCCCTTGGATCAGGTTCTGGTTTGCTGTCAAGTTCTACTCCAGTGATCCGCTCAATCTGAGAGAAGAAATAACAAGGTAGGAAGGATCAATGATGGTGGAGGGGGGGGGGGTGTCTGTGATTAGGTAGTAAAGGAACTAATCACGGTTTTTCTCACATACAATTACACGCATAAGCAGGATATTATGTCCATTAAACACACGCAAACATGAAACTTCAAGAGAAGAATAAATATTTGTTTATTTCGAAACTCTTGCCAATTGTGTAAATATTCATTGGGTTTAGTTTTTCTAGTATTTAACATGTAACTCCGTAAATACCATGGTTTCATGGTGAGGAAAGAAATTATGGGAAGGAAGTGGTTGGGATAAGGGGAGCAGAAACAAACCAAAGTTCCGGTAGGATCAGGATACTGGTTCAGGATACTTATTCAGGTTTAGGATACTATACAGGGTTCAGGATACTTTATAGGGTTCAGGATACTATACAGGGTTCAGGATACTATACAGGGTTCAGGAGACTTTACATGGTTCAGGATAATTTACAGGGTTCCGGATACAATACAGGGTTCAGGATAATTTACAGGGTTCAGGATACTTTACAGGGTTCAGGATACTATACAGGGTTCAGGAGATTATACAGGGTTCAGGAGACTATACAGGGTTTAGGATTATTTCACTTTAATATTTCAGGTACCAGCTGTTTCTGCAGCTAAAGCAGGATGTTTTGACCGGTAGGCTGGAACCCCCTCACAATATATCCATACAGCTAGCTGCCCTAGCATTACAGTGTAAGTTTAAATACTTAGAAATAAAAAAACGTAAAAATAATTCAGAAATGTTTTCTGCCGGAGACGTGGTTTCAATCGAATCTTCAGTTATAGAATGACTTTACCGATTGACAACGGTACCGTGGACTCCTTGTCTGATCAAAAATGAATAAGATATCCAAGATTTCTTTTAAACGTTTTTGTTTCAAGTGTGGTTCAATTGTGAGAATGAAATACTTTTTAAGCTAGCAAAACAATGATATCTTCCACATTATTGATCAGATAAAGGTATCAAGGATATCGATGTGAACCGGACCTAGCGCTCACTTACAATTACAAAGACAGTCCCTTTAAGAGGAGTTAAAATATTTACCAAAAAGGTATAAAATTTTAAATTGTACGTAAAAAATACACAGTCAGAGGAAACTCTCAGATTCTGTCCGTAATATCGACCATCTGTGAGATGTCCTAACATTCTGATTGCAATATTGAACATGTGTGAGATATCCTAATATCGTGTTCGTAATATTGATCATGAGTGAGATATTTTAACATTCTGTTCGAAATATTGACCATGTGTGAGATATCCTAACATTCTGTTCGAAATATTGATCATGTGTGAGATATCCTAACATTCTGTTCGAAATATTGATGATGTGTGAGATATCCTAGCATTCTGTTCGTGATATCGATCATATGTGAGATATCCTAAAATTCTGTTAATGAATTCCAACATAATTATTTGATCTAACAAAATTCAAAGTTTGAAATATATTGCAAAGCAAATAGTTTTACTTGACACTTATTAAAGCACTAACTTAGTGAAATGGGTCTGTTTGCACTGCACAACTCCTGTGTCTTCTCCTCAATGGACTTTTTAAAGTTATAACTTAATTCTTAAAGTCTCCTTCCTATTCCAGAGTTTTCTGGTTATCACTGTACATAAACTTAATAACTTGTTTATATTTTTATGATGAACTAAACTAAAGCGTACTTTCAAGATGTATATACTTTACAATATTCATTCTTTATAAATTTAAAAAATATCTTTTCTAAAAAATTCTAAATATAAAAATATTTACGACTGTTACTGACAACCCCTCTCCCCACATTGATGCGCAAATCCGCGGAAAAATATCTTTTCTAAGAATTGGACATATATATATATACGCCTTCATTGAGAAAAGTGCAAAATTGGAGAAAACTGAATTAATTTGTTAAATCATGGTATTCTTTATAATATTACATCCATAAGCCGGCCAAAATTGCTGGATTATTCAAATTTAATTGAGAGCAGATAGATCAATAAAATCCTAAGATTTCAAAAATTCTTTAAAGAAATATATTTGAAAATTTCACTTAGATAAGCAAATAAAAGTGTGTTTTTAATGTACAGTGTAAACCACAAAGGATGAACTTTTAATGAAGACCAAAAACTATTTAATTTGGTAAAGAAAGAAGCTAGTTTTTAAATGCAGAAAAGCATGGATGTAAAAAATTTCGTACAGCATTGTCACTGAAGTCTCATTCTTTGTGGGTAACCCTGTAGATGATCTCTAGATTTCATCAATGTATCTCTGCATTCTTTTCATAAAGTCGTGAATAATTCACATGTTTATCAATATTTGTTGTTTTATGATCTTCAATTTCTGGTTCAATTGTCTTCAAATTGCTGTTTTCCGGATTCAAGTTTTTGTTTTTGTTTGTCACGTGATATATACTGAGGGAGAAGGGGGGGGGGTTGAGGCACAAATATTAATAATTGATTGTTGAATTCATTTTCACTGTTTTTATCTCCTGTACGGATCATGAAACCTATAATTGCAAATCATTTTACAACATTTTTTCCCATCACAAATTATTGTGTAAGATGTAATCTTACGGTGATATTTCAGCGGAGTTGGGAGATTTCAATCCTGGAGTTCACACCGCAGCGTTCGTCTCAGAGTTCCGGTTCGTCCCCGTCCAAACCGAGGAGATGGAGGAGGAGATACTCTCCGCCTTCAGTCAGATCATCGGCAGATCTCCGGCCGAGGCGGAGTCAGAGTATCTCAGGGTTGCCAGAGAGCTGGACATGTACGGAGTGGAGATTCATTCCGTCCTTGGTAAGGACGGATCTCAATACTCACTCGGTCTCACTCCGACAGGTTTGGTTTCATGATTTATAAAATATTTGAATACTTAACATACGGATCTTTTCATATTAGACCAAGGTTAACATTTCTACTCCTTACTCCAGGTATCCTGGTATATGAAGGACTGCAGAAGATCGGATTATTTTTCTGGCCGAAAATCACAAAACTAGATTTCCAGAAGAAGAAGCTTTCTCTCCGGGTTGTGGAAGAAGAGGGTGAGGAGAAGGAACAGGAACACATATTCATATTCAGGTACAAGACATGTTTAACCCTGGTTAAATACATTAATGAAGAAAAATGGTGTGTTTAGTTTAATGATTTCATGATACACCGTCATGCCAGATAATTTCAGACTGCAGATGTTTTCTTGAAAATCTAAACCTTTAAAACACAAGAAGATTTATTTCAAATGGTTTTATACATGGTTTTAATATTTCTCCTAAATCTCAGGATTATGTGTGTAGCGTAGGGACATTTCATAGAAAGACATTTCATTGATAACAATATCATTGATAGGACATTTCATAGATAGGACATTTCATAGATAGGACATTTCATAGACAGAGGAGATTTTTACAATGATATTTTTTTTTTTTTTCATCTTCGTATTTTCCGTTGTCTATGAAAAATCTTCTCTGTGTCTATGAAAAGTCTTATCTATAAAATGTAAGCCATGTCATCCTTCTACCGTGTGAGAGAAACAACAAAGATGTTGTAGTTTTTCAAATTTTGTTTTGCGGATTTTTAACAATTCACTTGAGCATTTTCATTCAAAAAAAAGCATTATTAGTGAAAAACTTTTATTCACAGATGAAAAAGTTGAATTTTAAGTTCTTAAAAAGATTAATAAATTACTAGACTCTTCGTATGTAATGCTTTTTTAAATGTTTCGTTGTAGTATTGTATATATATAAAAAATCTCTTCTCTCTGTGGAAAATCTTCTCTGTCTATGAAATGTCTTATCTATGAAATGTCATATCTATGAAATGTCTTATCCATGAAATGTCATATCTATGAAATGTCCTATCTATGAAATGTCCTTCTATGAAATGTCTTTCCATGAAATGTCCTATCTATGAAATGTCCTATCTATGGAATGTCCTATCTATGAAATGTCCTATCTATAAAATGTCCTATCTATGAAATGTCCTATCTATGAAATGTCCTATCTTTGGAATTTCCTATCTATGAAATGTCCTATCTATGAAATGTCCTATCTATGAAATGTCTTTCTATGAAATATCTTTCTATGAAATGTCCCAACGCAATGTGTGTTGTTCAGCTCCTGGTATTGTTTAAACCTGTTCCCTAGAAATCTCCGTATTTCAGATTAACCTCGGAGAGAAGCTGCAAACACCTCTGGAAAAGCGCGGTGGAGCATCATGCGTTCTTTAGACTGAGAACTCCAGGAAGATCAACCAAGATCAAGCAAACCTTCTTCAGGATGGGATCAAGGTTCCGATACAGCGGCAAGACGGAATTCCAGAGCAGAGTCGGAGTGGAACCAAGGAAAGATACGAATAATAATTTATTTTTCAAGATCAAGTTCAAAATTAACAGATTTTTGTTTCAAAAATTAATTACCCAATTGTATTATCAAATTATCATTTTAATCTTGTGTCTAATTGAATTTAGTAGCTGATAAATTAATTCCGTATTCTGGTCCTAGAAGGAAGCTACAGTTTGAGCGTAGGCCCAGTACTAGATACGCTCGGCGTCAATCTCATCTGATTAAAGAGAAAGAATCCATCAATCAAGCGTCCAAAAAGTCCTATGAGATTGATACAAGTGATACTAGGTTCATAAACAATAAACATTCAAGCTGTCACGAGCTCAGAGTTCTCCCGATAAATTCTAGAAATACACAAAAAATCGGAATACCCGCCGTAACCTCGCCAGTGCCCGCGGTTTCCTCTCCCATCCCTCTTAACGTTATCACACAATCCCAGGGGATGGGGCTACCCTCAACTCTTCCTCTCAGTCCCGCCGGGTACCATACCAGATCCATAGTAGATATTATATCAGAATTCAATGAGAAGAATCAGAACTTGTCAGATCAATCAAAAGTGCCGAACGCCCCAGATATCTCTATACCCAGGGATATTGATTATCTAAAATGGGTTTCGGAAACCAAATGTCCATCCAAACTAACTCCAACGGAATCTTGTAGCTCGGGAAAATCAGGGAGCAGCTCAAACAGTGGTTCGGAGAAGGAGAAACATCGTGCATCCTCCCCTGACAGTGGTTGTGATGTCTCCGTGATGGTTGCATACACTTCAGAACCTAAAGTCCGTCGAGTAGATTCGTCTTCACAATCGGTTCCAACCCCTGCTCCTAGACAGAGCCTGAGAAAACATAAAACTGGTAAAGAGAAACCAAAGAGTATGCTTGTCACTGAAATTGAGCACCCGGAGAAGGTTTCAATATTAACCAAAGAAGCATTGGCCGAGATCCCTGATTGTCGAGTAACCCGAAACTCCAGCTACGAATTAAACTGTCCGTACAGTAGGACGGCTATATATAGTCTTGAAGGGAGTAGGCTCCAGGAGCAAATGGAACAGGATGGAAGTGACAGTGGTCATGGTAGCTCCATACTTAGTAACACCAGCCGACTACGTTCCTACGCCTCTAGTAGGGATATTCTCGAGATGTATGGAACCGGAGCTGGACAACCCTTAACCCCTCGTATGCTGGGTTTCTCTAGCTCCGACCTGAGACTCCCTCCGTCCGCACTCCTTCTCTCTCTCTCTGGGAAGAAATCTAACTCATCAATGAGCGTACACTGGGCCCAACCCCCCAACTCTGCTGTTTATCAAAACATACCTAGACGACTAGAGAGAGATATTGTTTTCTAGAGAATATCTTGCAAAAGGCTCCAGGCTAGGTCGGAGAAAGATATAAATACCGGGTACAGTTATAAACCTGCACCTGGACTCTCCAGGATGGGTCTATCATTAGTTCTACGTCTCCAATACTTCCGCCAAAGATGTATTAGTTCCTCTCCGGGGTTGGAAAGTTTCCCGTGAGAGATCCATTTATTGTCTCCCCCATCCTGCTCCGACCAGCTGACCAGACCAAACCATGAGGTTCGGATTGCTTCAGGCTAGAACTGCTGTAAGAATGATATCAAACAATAAACTTCTTCTATCCGCTTCAATATCTAATCATTATCCAATCAAACCCTGAACATATTGAGCTCATGATGAAAGGAAAGGAAAGAGAAATTAAATGATTCTGTTTTTACAAACTGTTCACAAAACTATAGAAAATATTATATATATATGTAGATCTTTATTATGTAATAAAAAATAAACTTTTTCGTCATTCTGTGGTTTTTCAATTACACGTTTTATTCTACATTTTTCCAATCAGCTTTCATATCAGGAAATTTGCTCTATGTTAGATACTTGCAACTTCAATTAACCGTAAAGTGTAAATGCAGTTCACAATCCACGTTTCCTTGTCTTATCTTTCATTTTGTATCTTTAACTTACGAGAATTTCAGATCACCTCGCACCCAGCTTCGATTTAAACTTTTAATTGTTGCTATCTGCGGCAATTTCTCTTTTTGAATTATCAAACAATAGCAAAAAATCGCGGATTTATCGATATTTTTGTGGATTTTTTAAAAAAATCGAATTTTTTGAAGGCATTCTGATCATCCTTTAACCTTCCCTGTGATAATGTGAGGTCCCTCAGATTTAGCAGCTTTTATGTTTATTGGATACAAACAAACAAAGTATATATATTGGCAAGTGTCTGTTTTAGTATTAATGCGTGTGAGGTTGTGTGTCTAGTATCTACTGAAGATGAGTGTGTAAGAATGAATTAGATATATTTCTGAAATCATCTTCCTTGAGTAAAGATTCTATTATCGAGCCTGGTTCTGACAGGTTTAAGAGACCTTGTTATTCCAGAGTAGGAGTAGGACTAGGTATAAAGAGAAGAGAGAACGGAGAAGGATGGATTCCACATGAAACCACTAAAGGGTTCCTATCAGAGCAGGTACCTGGAGAAATATCAGATCTTACATAAAACTGCATCCATTTAACCCTATTCCTGCTGGGGGGGGTCAATTTGACCCCCCCTGTAGTTTTTTTACATAACTATATTCTACATTCGAATAATATTGGTTTAGATACAGTCGTTACAGTCGTTTCTAAACTTTCATCTTCTGGCATATATTCTACATTCGAATAATATTAGTTTAGATAACTCTTATCATTTATCCATACTTGTATTTATCTAACTTAAACTAATTCCAAAACTATAAATTTAAAACGTGAAAGAAAACGTCTACATGTACATATTCCCTATATCTTAAACCTATATCTAGGTTAGGAAGAGTGCTTCTAGTTCTATATCTTGAACCTATATCTAGGTTAGGAGGAATACTCCTAGTTCTATATCTTGAACCTATATCTAGGTTAGGAGGATTACTCCTAGTTCTATATCTTGAACCTGTATCTAGGTTAGGAGGAGTAGAACTGGGCGGGATTATCCTGACCCTGATGATCTCCCTCTCTCAAGCTTACATGTTTACTCCACCAGACAAGAAAAGCTTGAACTGTGAAGATTTCTGTGTTTCTACCGGATTCCAGGTATAATAATTGAGTCTTTGCCACAAACTCAAATTTTCTAATCTCTATATCTTTGCAACCAGATGTTGTGCAAACCTTAGATATTTCAAACTTAGATCTTGTTTGAAATACCTAAGGTCAAAGACATCCGTATATATGTTGTGTATAGCCGGCCAAACAACTGGACCGATTGGGCTGAAATTTTTTTTGGACACTTAAGGGGTTTTCTGGTTCTCAGTGTCTAATATAACTCATTATTATTTTAGAAAAGCAAAGACGATTTGTCAATTAATTTATTGATTCCCATGGCTGTATTGTTCAGTAATATACTGTATTGTTCAGTAATATACTGTATTGTTCAGTAATATCCAGTATTGTTTAGTAATATGCTGTATTGTTCAGTAATATCCTGTATTGTTCAGTAATATCCTGTATTTTTCAGTAGTATCCTGTATTGTTCAGTAATATCCTGTACTGTTCAGTAATATCCTGTATTGTTCAGTAATATGCTTTATTGTTCAGTAATATCATGTATTGTTCAGTAATATCCTGCATTGTTCAGTAATATCCTGTATTGTTCATTAATATCCCGTATTGTTCAGTAATATCCTGTATTGTTCAGTAATTTCCTGTATTGTTCAGTAATATCCTGTATTGCTCAGTAATATCCTGTATTGTTCAGTAATATCCTGTATTGTTCAGTAATATCCTGTATTATTCAGTAGTATTCTGTATTGTTCAGTAGTATTCTGTATTGCTCAGTAATATCCTGTATTGTTCAGTAATATCCTGTATTGTTCAGTAATATTCTGTATTGTTCAGTAATATCCTGTATTGTTCAGTAATATCCTATACTGTTCAGTAATAACCTGTATTGTTCAGTAATATCCTGTATTGATCAATAATATCCTGTATTGTTTAATAATATCCTGTATTGTTCAGTAATATCCTGTATTGTTTAGGGCAAGGTTGGACTATGTAGATGTGGGTATAATCTGTTTAGTAAACGAAGTGACCCAAGCTTGCTACACTCTCTCATGACAAGGTAAATGATAAACCCAAAGAAATAGTTAAATAATTGACAGTTTAAAAAATGGATTCGTGTAAAGAAATATTACACTTCCATCAACTACTGTACACTTTCCTCACATAATGTACAATTCCTTCAGCTACTGTTGACTTCCCTCACATACTGTACAATTCCCTTAGCTGCTGTAGACTTCCCTCACATACTGTACAATTTCTTCAGTTACTGTAAACTTCCCTCAACTACTGTACAATTCCCTCAGATACTGTTCACTTCTCTCAACTACTGTACACTTCTCTCAAACTCGAATTTTCTAATATCTGTATCTTTGCAAACTGTTGTAAGTTGCAACAACAGGATCTGATTGGCTCAACCGTTTTGACGTTATTATGCACAAACAGTCAAACAAACAAACAAGCCAAATGTATACATTAAATATTATATATATATATATATATAAATAACTATATTTATATATCTTCTTAAAATAAGTCTAGAACATGTTCTATTGTTTATTAAGATTGGTTATATATATATATATTTGATCCTATATTAGGTCCGCGTCTTCTCCGGATCCTGTACTGTCCGGACTAACGACCAAGGAGATCATTGATGCTCTGAGTGTTCTGGACAGGATAGGTCTGCATCCTCAACAGAAGGAACTGGAGACAATCCAGCCAAAAGAGGTATATACTATATATATGGTAAAAAAAGGTATATAAAATATATACTGTATATATGGTGAAAAACACCGAAATCTGGATGTCTCTAATATGAATAATATCATTTGTTTTGTTAATTATGATGGTTGGGTTTAAAAATATTTGAACCTGTAAGAACATCAAATTTTGTTCATCCCACCTTCACATTTAACAAACCAAATCATAATTATCATATTAGGGACAGACAAATTTTGGCGTTTTTGACCATATACGATTTTGCTTATTTGTTTATCTTTAATATATCAGTTTAAAAATTAAGAATGTAATATTTGACTTTTTTTCTGTATTTCAAAAGTTTTGTTTCCTGTATAAAGCCCATATGACACTTAAAAATTATATATTTAATTTTTTCTTTGCAGTTAAAAGTGATTTTATGGTTGTTAAAAACTCTAGAAGCTGATGATGATTATGAAGAGGTAAGTTTAAAACTTTTCAGTTTTCAGTTTAAAGGTTGGTAGGTTTATAAAAGGCTAAACTATGGGTTAAAAGTGCAATTTTATAAAATGCTAGCGTTAAAGTCTGAAGGGTAAGTTTAAGGACAAGTTTCTAAGGAAGTAGATTTTCAGTTCAAAAGATAAGTTTGTAAGAAAAACTACCTTTTTATCCTGTTTAGTGCAGGTTTTAAAAGGCTAGATTTTCCGTTTACGGGTAATGTTAAATAATGTTATACAGTGCACCCATAAATATTTAAAATAGGAAGATTACTGTTAAACACAAGTTATGATTATAAATATATGCCAATGAGCATTAACACATTGGTTGTGTAATAGCGTAACAAAATCAAATACAAAATAGAATTGCTTAAATGTCGTCTTTCTATTACACAGTTCAATGGAAGAGTTTAAATGGCAAGCTTCTAAAAAGTTTGGATCATGTTTTCTTGACAAAAATTGGCCAAAAACAGACAGATTTACTTTATTTTGAACTTTTTGAATTTAAGGGTAAAAGGAATAAGAATATCATTTTGAAAAATTGATTTCTCTTTTGAACAAACTAATGTTATAATTTCTTCCCTATTAAGTTTCAAATAGAAAAGTATGAGAAATAATATTCTCTATCCCCTAAAGAGAAATTCTGGTAATGGCAGAAAATCCACAAAAAATCTTTTTCCCGGATTTATCCTAATCAGCAAGGAACAAAGCTTTCAGAAAGTTAGGTTAAATATATATTTACAGAAATAAAAACTATAAAGATGCAGGAGTAGGCAAAAAACATGGGACTGGAGGGATAATAAGGCACACGCCGATTTCTCCATGTTTCAAGACTTATATATTCAAATTAATAATTCCTAATTGTTCGTTACAACAGCTGAGTCGTTAGAAGATCCTGTATCGTTAGTTAACAAGTTGAGCAATAGGTCGTTCGCAGACTATTGCACTTAACTGAGAAAAAATATAGAAATTGAGTCTTATCCACAAACTTTGCTTTTATGATTTCTATATCTTTGCCACCCGATGTCGTACAGCTTAGATATTTCAAACTATGCTTTCTGTTAGATCAAATAATCTAAGTTTGAAATATCAAAGGTTTACAATATCAGGTAAAATTAGATAATTTGTAGCAAAAAACTCAATTCCTTTACAAAACAAATGATAGCTGCAAGTTTTATGTAAACTCCATGGTCAGAAACGGTGACAATCAATATCAATAATGATGGTTGATCATAATTAACTAAATTCGTTTTGAACAAAAGATTTTTTTAAATTACTGGTTTCATTATAGCAAATGACTTTATGATGTCTGGGGTGTTTATTTCTCTCTAAGTATTCTTTTTAGTCAATGCCTTAAAACTAAATGTGGCTTCAATGTTTAAACATAATTGTATCGGTAAACCCTACCCGAGTTAGGAACTTTTAAATTCATTGATTAAACTTTGAATAATAAGGGATTATAGTTTATCTTTTGCATTTATAAGTTTTTAGCTGAGTTCAGTGCCCTCAGTTCTAATCTAACATCTGGGAATATTATTCTCAAATCCACAAAGAATTTATTATTCAGGACTTTCTTCTTTTTTCCCTTAACTTTATAATGTTATTATTTTGTTCTATTCTCAAGAGATTATAAAGCCTTGGGAAACCTTAATTATTGGAGATCCCCATAGAAGTTTCTACTGCTATAGGAGACCCCGATCTTTTCGTCGAACTACCGCTCTGATATCTCCGATTGCACTCCAATTATGATACTTCCCAGGCTCATCGTTTTAGGGTTTAATTACAGTATTTTTTAGTAAATATTTTGCTTTTTAATCATGTTGCCATTTTTCATCATACTCTGCAGTTAGCTAACATTTTAGTGGATTTTTCTGTAAAAATTGGTGCATTTAAAAAGTTATAAATGTCAGGATTTTTTTCCAGGTAAAGTTTTTCTATTTTGACTGTTCATAAACCTTCCCCGGGATCATGTCAGTTGCAATTGTGTACCAAAAATTGCACCAGATCAATGTAGCTGTTCTGACGCTAATTGGTCACAAACAGACAGACAGGCGAGAAAATATATATTCAGATGAAGCTTCATCTTGAAATCTGCTGTTCCTGAAAATGTTTGATGTATGAGTTGACTGAAGTTTGAAAGTTTCAAGTTTTTCTAAAAGTTAGCAAATTTAAATTTCAGACTCATCTCATTTGGACAAGATCTGTCTGATTTACTCATTAGAAGTGTTTTGTACATAAATATTGGGAAAATACACTATACACTATACAGGGTGTCCCATTTATATAGGCTCGTTTATAGTTCTAAATTGAGATTTACAGGACTGATCAGAAAATTTAAAAAGAATGAATTATCTAAAAAAAATTATTAGGCTTATGCAAGAATTTCTTTCCTAAAAATAGGTCTGAAAACCAATATTTTCAAAAATCAAACCTTTTCTGCATCCCCTTCACAAAAAGTTTTATTTATTCGATAATTTCAACATTTTTGAGTCTTTTTTGTTACACTTAAACCCTAAATAAGCCATACATCGATAGAATTCATCAAATGTCGTATTCTTCACTTTCTGATAATGGAATATTGCAGATATATGTTTAGTTTTTTAATTAAATGATTATATGGAGCTTTTTAAAACTGTTCCCGCATATTCATGGTTATTTATTTATTTTCGCAAATACTGAGATTTAAGTAAAAAAGTATAAAAACCATTGGAAAAATTGTAAAGACGACATTGATAAATTCTTCCGATGTATGGCTTATTTAGGGTTTATAAATTCTATGTATGATATATCTCTGAGAATTTACGGGTTATATTTCCAGTGCTATAACATTTATAAATTACAAAGGAAGGAACATTATAGGTTCATAAAAAAGGAACAATACAATAACATGAATGTTGGGTGAGTTAGGAACAAAAAAGAAAGTACTAGATTAGGAACATCAAAAGAGGATTGAGGAACAAACAAACTATAACATGGAAACTATAAGAGGAACAATGAGCCAGCTAGGAACAATAATAAACTTTGAGTTTCATACATGCCCTAAGAACAAAGAACAATAAATGAAATCAGAAATATATAATCACTAAAAAGATTGCTGGGAATTAGGAACAAAATTAAATAAAGGATCGGGTCTAGGGTCAGACACAGTGTTAGGAATAGGAACAATAACAGGAACATTAAGCAAGTTTAGAACAAAAGTAAATTATTAGTTATACTTATATATGCATGAAAATTAGGAATAATATTACAATTTTGATTAATGAGTATTGATTAAGGAACATTAGCATTAATATACATATGCAAGTTAGATAGGAGCATTATTAAAACATAAGTCTAGTTTCACATTTACTTGTTGATTTTGAAATTGAATTCATGCAGTTTTATGCGTATTAACGCCAATAAAACAAAAACACAATGTCGTCGTACTTACATTGTTTGTTATATTTATTTTTAACAAGCTAACGGGTGTCCCAATAAACATGGGATTTAAGTGACGAATTCGATATTGTCTTTGTTATAAATTAGCATTGTAATACCTGATTTCAAAAGCCATAATATTATATGTCTGCAAGAGTTTATTTTATGAAACGGTAAAAGACTGTAAAGATGTGTCTAGAATGTCTCCCCAAGATGAACAGTGAAGTCGGACAAGTTTACTCTGTTTGTATACTGCAATTTTCTTGTTTTACTAAGTACAACCGTATGCAGTCAAAACATAAACAAACAAATTGTAAACATAGCAGACGAAATTCTTACGGATTACAGCTTTCTCAATAGGTATCACTATACATAAATCAAAGAATTATTTAAAAAGACGATATCGAGTTCGTCACCGAATTCCCATGTTTATTGGGACACACTGTAGAAAATATTTTTCGTTGTACTGATGATTCAATTATTCAATAAATATCTTCTAATATTATAATACCATTAAATAATCAAATAACTTGAAAACGGGATACATACGATTTATCAAACTAGGAACATTTTTTGCCTCGAAAACTCAGGAGGGGGGGGGGGGTACGCCCCCTCCTGAATCTGTCGGGGGTGCGAAGGTCCTGCCGCCCCCCCCCATGTATCCGCCCTTGCCAAGGATTGATAAAGACGACTTTCATCACGAATTTACTGGTTTTGGCTGTATAGTTTCATGGAAGAATCTATGTTCCGTTCAAAGTTTGAACTGTGTTTTTCGATCCAACGTTTATGGGCCTAATGAATTTGAAAGTGATTTATTTTTTAAATATCTTATTTTTCAGGCGCTACAAATCTAATCCTAGAATAATCTTTAAACCCTTCAGGAACATCATCAATTCATCAATTCTTGATATTTTTATAATTCCGCCATCTTGTTTATCTTTATTTACACTATATCTGATAAGTGTGTGGGGGGGGGGAGTGCATTATTAGAGTACAGACCATGATGCCATTAAGGGATCCTTTCCTAAAATATTTGGAACAATTTCCTAGAAATCATATTTCCTTTCCCAGAAAGGTTTTAACCAGAAGACGAAACTTTTGGCTGAGACAGTGCTTAATTTTAGCGTTTTAACTCGATATCCACTGTGTACGCTTTTAAATTGAATGATTTAAGTTTAATCTGTGATACAATGAAAATACACTCAGAGATCCAAGTAAATTTTTACTTAAATTATTACAAATGGTTTAATCATCGGGGAAATAGTAACCGGCTCAGACCTGAATCCACAGATTTAAGATTCAAAAGTTTCGCTCTCTGAATTAATGAATTGACTGGTGTCTGTAGGTGAATGATGAATACACGGAGATGGATAGATAAATATGGAGAACTCAACTCCTCCTGTTTTTAAATATAATGAAATATATTTCTCTTTCTCTCACTTAGTTTTTGTTTCAAGATATTCGGGTCTTATAGATTTCACAATTCTATCTATGATATGAGAAAAATTGTAAAATCTTATTCTTTACAAGTTTTCTTTTGTCAAATTATGCAATATTTTGACTCTTGCAGAAGATATGAGATATTACTGTTAACAAAAGAAAAAAATTAAACCATTAACGAACAGATGGTTGTTAATTGCAAACTGTTAACGAAAAGCTGATTGTTAATTGCAAACCGTTAATATCTATATCGTAACTGAGTGTTGTTGCTTAAAGGGAGTGTTCGCAACAAAAAGAAAGGAGGTGTAGGCTTACGGCAAAATATAAGCGCTTTTGATCGCTACTAATCTTACTGCTATCTGTTGCATCTATAAGGAGCAAATTGTTAAAAACGACTCATACCAAAGAACGTAGCGTTCATACAAATTCAGAAAATTGCAATATATATTCAACTCGGATCGTAAAAAATCAATTTAATTCCAAACAAATCATTCAGTTATTACAGCCAAAAATCATCGATAATTTTTCGACGCATTCGTAAATAGTTGATATTTTTTATTTTCTTATGATCTAATAGTTACTTTTAAAAACACTTATTTCTGTCTTGAGGATTTTGATAATATTTTCCAGCAATGTTCGAAAATCCAGCGCCAGCGAAATTTTATTTTAAAAAGAGCAAAATCAAAAATATTATGAAATATTAACTATATGCGAATGCGTCGAAAAAAAATTGATGATTATAAGTTGTAATATCTGAATGATTTTTTTGAAATCAAATTGATTTTTTAGAAGTAAAATTAGTAGCGATCAAAAGCGCTTATTTTTCGCCGTAAGCTTTATTTTTTCGCGAACACTCCTTTTAAATCGATTCTGAATTTATACTTTATAATCATTTGTGATTTCTGTGTAAAATTGGCTGGCGAACACTCCCTTAAATGTTTGTTGGTCAAAACTGCCATTTTAGCGAGTTTGGGACACAAACTCAGTTCCTTCCGCTCCCCGCCCTTTAGCTCAGGGGATGTCACTAAGTACAGGGTTACCAACAAAGAATAAGACTGAAAAGACGACCGAAAAATCTTAAAATATGACGATCCCAAGTTTAAACTTCCTTAATTAAAGTATTTTAATGATTTTATTAATGATTTGGCTAAGAAAGAAACAAGTTTACAGGGAATCATGAATAAAAAGAAACAGACCGTATGAAAATAAAGAAACAGACCGTATGAATATAAAGAAACAGACCGTATGAATATAAAGAAACAGAGCGTATGAATTTACAAAGTCGTTTCTGAAGTCTCGTCCTATATGAGGGGGTAGCCTTTTAAGATACTTTTAAATTAAGGAGGGAAATTTTATTTTTATCGGCACGATTACTAAACTTTCTGTAAAAAAATGTTGCCACCTNCATCTCACACAATTAATAATTGAACTGAGGTCGGAATTATTCCTTTTATTCAAAACTAGAAAATTATTTTTGCATTGCTAGAAATGAATTTTTCTGTTGAATGTGTGTCGATATTTCGTAAAATTACCTTTCTTGATCCTGAGAAGAAAATATCTGTTCAAAGAAATACAAACCTTAAAATTCAAACAACACTGAGGTTCAGTTGAAAATTCACAAGATGTTAATTAGTTTGAGATTGAAGTACTGGTAAAGTTAAACTACCATTAGGCTTAACGGTTTTGGTTTCTTTTCTGACACAACAATGTTTTATCTCTTATGGTTCTTTAATTTTAAAAATAATTATAAATAACACTTAACCAGTCCTTTCACCATTGTTTCGGGAATTTAAAAATAAAAATAACTGGTGGTGTTAAACTAAGATATTTCAAACTTGGATTATTTGATCTAAAAATAATTCATTGATCAACATATCAACGGTCAACATTATCGGTTTGCAAAGGAATAGGGATTATTAAATTTGAGTTTTTGTCAAGAACTCAAATGGTGTTTTTTCTTTGGGTCAAAAACTGCAAATTGTTTGTTTGGGTTAACTGAGTTAATTAGGAACACTGATATTGTGAACTATGTTCAATATATTTACTTGACAACTTTTCCCAGTGTTTACTTCTAAACATAAATTATTAAATTAAACCAAGAATAAATGTCAAGAACTCAGTTCCTTTGCTTGTGAAATTAAAGTAAGTTTTTATATGAAATCTGGAGTTGCTGACATGATTTAATATAAGATTTAAAGGAACAGACCGGCTATTTAAGGAAATTAAACTGAGTATGCAGCGTTGTGGACAAATTCTTGAGGATAAATTTGAGACATATAAAACTTTTTAAAGATCTGTAAATCCTGAGTTTGAGCGCAAAGTCGACGTTCAAAATACGTTTTCAGAATTGTTTTTTTTATTATTATTAAATAACGACGACAAAAAATGTAAACAAAATTCTACAGTACACTAATTAGTTGGAACAGGTTGAGAAAATGAAAATAAGCTCTTATCATCGTAAATAATTAATCTTATTCAATAACAAATTATTAGTTTCTATAATCTCTTTTTAATCACAAATATTTTCTGCAGATTTTCTGGAATTTTTATTAAAAAGACGACATTTGAAGAATTTGAGGAAATCTGCGAACAAATTTTTAGAAAATAAGAAATTCAATATAATGATGAAAAAGGAAATATGAAATAATTAATTCGATTTATTGACAAATTTCTTTTGAGAAATATGTTTCTAAACATCAAATCAGTGTACTATAGAATTTTTACTATATTTTTCGTCGGCGTTATTCAATAATTAAAAAAACGATTCTGAAAACGTACCCACCAAAATTCATGATTTTTTTCCACTATGCACTCAAAATCAGTAACTATACATCGTGGAAAGGTTTTATATGTCTGAAATGAATCCTAAAGAATTTGTCCACAGCACTGCATACTCAGTTTAACTACCTTACATAGCCGGTCTGTCTCTTTAAAAGAAAGTTTTGATCATTGCATAAGTGCGACAAATTCGAAGGACATTTACAGGTCGAAAAAAAAACATTGTTTTGCAGTTTAAGTAGATTCTTGATATTATGATGTAGTAGTCATTTTTAGTAGAAGTAGTATAATAATATTGCATTATAATATTTATAATAATGAATATCCTTTACCTTTACAGACGTGCTGACTCAGGTCGTCCTTACCCTTCATATCAATTCTTTTACAATTCTATACTGTTAGGCTTATTATTTGCCTTATTACGGTATTTATATTGATTTAATAAAAAGTTTCAGTATACGGTTCCTGTTCCAGTATACAGGTCCTGATCCAGTATGCAGTTCCTGATCCAGTATACAGTTCCTGTTCCAGTATGCAGTTCCTGTTCCAGTATACAGTTCCTGTTCCAGTATGCAGTTCCTGTTCAAGTATACAGTTCATGTTCCAGTATACGGTTCCTGTTCCAGAATACAGTTCCTGTTCAAATATACAGTTCCTGTTCCATTGTACAGTTCCTGTTCCATTGAACAGTTCCTGTTCAATTATACAATTCCTGTTCCACTATACATTTCCTGTTCTATTATACAGTTCCTGTTCAATTATACAGTTCCTGTTCAATTATACAGTTCCTGTTCCATTGTACAGTTCCTGTTCCATTGTACAGTTCCTGTTCAATTATACAGTTCCTGTTCCATTATACAGTTCCTGTTCAATTATACAGTTCCTGTTCAATTATACAGTTCCTGTTCAATTATACAGTTCCTGTTCCATTGTACAGTTCCTGTTCCATTGTACAGTTCCTGTTCAATTATACAGTTCCTGTTCCATTATACAGTTCCTGTTCAATTATACAGTTCCTGTTCCATTATACAGTTCCTGTTCAATTATACAGTTCCTGTTCCATTGTACAGTTCCTGTTCCATTGTACAGTTCCTGTTCAATTATACAGTTCCTGTTCCATTATACAGTTCCTGTTCAATTATACAGTTCCTGTTCAATTATACAGTTCCTGTTCAATTATACAGTTCCTGTTCCATTGTACAGTTCCTGTTCCATTGTACAGTTCCTGTTCAATTATACAGTTCCTGTTCCATTATACAGTTCCTGTTCAATTATACAGTTCCTGTTCCATTATACAGTTCCTGTTCAATTATACAGTTCCTGTTCCAGTACATAGTTCCTGTTCCATTATACAGTTTCCTTTCTATCTTTGTTCCATGATCAATGGTTCTTGTTTTACCTCGTTTTAAGAACTTTATCCTGAAACCGAGTGAAATCTTGAAAAGTTCCTCTTTTTCCCATTTTCCAGACAATCCCGGTCTTTTTACTGTTAGAAAATATGCTGAGGTTAGAATGTTCAAAATGTGAACATTAAATCTATCCTTTTCTCCTTTGGATACAGGGTGAGACTGTAAAGACGACCCAAAACTTTTTGAAGCTTGATTTTTGGTTTCTGTATTCAATTGAGTATTTTGATGGTTTACTAAATGGTTAAGCACAGAAATAAGCCAGTTTAGGCCTACAGTGGACCATTAATGCAAGAAAACGGACTAAAAAATGTCGAACAATCGTCTCTGAAGTGCATAAAAAATATGAAAAATTACTGAATCTGAATAAACATAAATGTTGAGAAGTATTTCTATAATGAATGTAATAAAAGTACTCAGATTTGATTAAGAAAACATGTTCAAAAGCATGGCAGGAATACATAAAATCTATAACAATAAGACTTTACTCTGCAAAATGTCCCAGCTCACAGAACTGTAAATAACATGCAACCTCAGAATCCAAGACTTATATAAAAAATGTTAGAAAATTTCAACTTCTTTTTCCAGATTTGAGATTAATCTCTTCTTAAATTGCTAAATTGGAGGATGAGTTTTCATGTGAGGTTGGAGCCTCATGTCAGCGGCCAGGTGTCGGAGGACGGGAGAGGGGGCCTCAGTCTAAATCTAGTTCCTAATCAGAACCTTAGTAATAAATCTGGTTCTCCGGAGAATATCATGGTTTTCCATCAATCCAATCCGACATTAAAGGGACAAACGTTTTAATTTCAAGTTAA